CCAAAATCTGGTATAACTGTTCAAAATCATTACTGCTATAGCTCAAAGTTAATATTATTAATTAAATTCACATATTTATTTACTAAAAGCATTTTTCATTTTTGGAAGTGCAATGCATACTTATCAATTTAGCTTCTTAATGCATAAACTTTAACATTTATTTTTCAACTCATTCTAACGCATTCTTTAACATTTATCTAGCTCCTATGATTTTTATCTAAATCACTTTACTTTACTACAAATAGATGATGGCTTAGATCTTATGTAGCTGACTTTAAGAAAGATGAAACAAACATTTGTATTGCCCTTAAATACAAACAAATTATCTAAAGTCAATTATTTCTTCAAATTGTTACTGCTTTTTACTTTTTATCTTATCTGTTCAATGTGCCTATATTGTAAGCATATTACGTCTATTTTTATCCTTGAAACAGTGGACTTATTTTTTCTATTTCTATTTTATTATTTTTCCTTTCCGTAATTTGAGCTTTTAGCTCTTAGGTTTTCTTATACATTTCTTATACATTTTACAGCTTACACATTTTCTAATTAAATCTTCAGTTAATCAATATTAATTTTTCAAGTTTTCTTTTTCTTTCTTATTCTCAATCAAAGAACTAACTTATATGTTTTTTATTCATACTTATTTAGTAAATCTATTTGTTTATTAATACATTCTTTTACTCTATACTTCCTTTATCTCTATATATATTGATCACTATGGCTTCATTTATTCTTTTTCATTAGTAAAGTTTCAAACTCTTTTCTATATAATATAACTCTATTATTAGTACTTTCTCAGTTCATTTATCTTACTATACTACTTTATAATTTGTCTATTCATTAATAACTTATATTCTATCCAAATTATGTTAAAGTCTATGTCATTATTTTATCTATAGTTTGATCTCCTCTCATTAACTCTCCTCTTCTCTGTTTTCCTAGTGCTGTAAATAGGCAATCTATTGTTCACACATGGACACCATAAATCTCTCTCTTACCCCCATCCTGGAGCAGACTGTCTTTCACTCATTGCTATGTCAAGAATTTAAGTCCACTCTGCCTATTGTTCTTTTTTAACATATTCAAACTTAAAACACAAAGATAATTTCAGAAAAATGTTTAACTATTATATTATTCTGCCTTTTACTCTGTGTCTTTCAAATGCAACATGTTCCATTAGTTTTAATTTAGGAGACTCCTCTCTTTATATCATATAACTCTTCTCTTAAACTGCATCAATTACTTTTCTTCTTGCTCTTTAATTCACACCACAAATATGCAGCCCTCCTTTTATATAATCTACTATAATCATTATTTTAACCTACTCCTTATTGAAAACATACTTTTAAACACATTCACACTTCTAATCTTATTACTTTTCCTCTTCTCATTCACTCCTCTCCTCCACTCAGTGTAACAGGAGCTGCATCCCCCCATCCTCCTTTCATTCAAGGAGGAGGAAGGCAGTCTTCTCTGCACACCAATGTGGACTATTTTGCCACAATCTGAAGCAACAAATACACAAACACTCCAATTAAATAAATACTCTTCACTACACTCCTCTTGAGTGACCTGTCCGAGCAGCCCTCTAACCTTAGAGCGGTAACCACAGGCTTTCTTGCCTACCCATGCAGCCCTTTGTTTATCTCATTTAACAAAGCGGTATCGTAGGTCTTAGCGCGCATCTCTCTACTTTAATCTGCTTTAATCTCTTAACTGTTACCACACATTAAGGACTCTCTCTTAAAACTTATAAATGCTCTATGCATTTCTTACATCATTATTAATTTCCCAAATCTGGGTAACAGTTACTAGTTAATGTTTATCCTATCCATCAAGGCCCACTTAGGAAAACACAGATCATTTGCATACCTTACTCTGCTTTAATCTCTTAACTGTCACCACACATTGAAGACTCTCTCTTAAAACCTATAAATGCTCTATGCATATCTTATATCATTAATAATTTCTCAAATCTGAGTAACAGTTACTAGTTAATGTTTATCCTATCCATCAAGGCCCTCTTAGGAAAACACAGATCATTTGCATGCAAATTCTTTTTCTTCTGTCATTCAAAACCCCTTTTTTCTTTAATATCTTTTTTACATTTACTTTTAATTCTTTAAAGCTGGAGAAACAGTTCAAGTGTATTTACCTGTACAAGCAGGTCCTGGCAGAAAAAACACAAACTAATAAGCATAAAATCGCTTACCGTTTTTTATTGTGGCCACATATTTGTGTTTTCTCTCCAGTCCAGCATGCACAGCAACACCAGTCCTGCTCCTTTCCAGCCCACCCAGAGGGACGCCAAATGTAGTGGTTTTCTTGGTTTTTCTCTTACTAAATCAAACTCAGTCTGGAGGTTATGAATATCAGAAGAATATACTTTATTGTCGACAACAAAGGAGAACTTTCAGGAGACCCCCAGTAGCATCTCTGTCTGAAAAATTCTGCCTCACTCCTGTTCTTGGCTTATTTAAATACCCTTTTACATCCGTTGTTTTCCTTTGTTCTCCATATATTACACAAGATACCTCCTCGTTTAACCCCTGACCCCAAATACCACCTCTGACATCTGTTTCCTGAGACACCTCAGGCTCTTTTACCACTCTCTTTTCATCCCTTCTTTTATGACCCCTAGTTGTTTCCTCAAGCCATTTCCCATGTCCAATTGTTTTAATGGTATGCAAGTCTACAAGCAGATTATACACATATACCCTGAATATATAGATTAACTTCACACTCCAAAGAGCACAAAATCCACCTCAGAATCAGCTTTCCTCCCATGGTGCACGACAACACTGAAAATACTGTGCGACTGACACAAGGGGGCGTATTCTGACAGTCGTGTCCAAATGTCGTGTGCAGTGGAAAGGCGGCTTTACAGAAGGACAACCATCTGTGCAGCAATCTACCAATCAGGCCTGTATGGTAGAGTGGCCAGACGGAAGCCACTCCCCGCCTGGAATTTGCATCTGAAGGACTCTCAGACCATAAGAAACAAAATTCTCTCGTCTGATGAGACTAAAATTGAACTTTTTGGAGTGCATGCCAATTGTTATGTTTGGAGAAAACCAGGCACTGCTCATCACCAGGCTAATACCATCCCTACAATGAAGCATGGTGGTGGCAGCATCATGCTGTGGAAATGTTTTTTCAGTAGCAGGAACTGGAAGACTAGGATAGAGGGAAAGATGAATACAGCAATGTGCAGAGACATCCTGAATGAAAACCTACTTCAGAGTGTTTTTGACCTCAGACTAGGTTGATGGTTCATCTTCCAGCCCAAAGCACACTGCCAATGTAATGACTTCACAACAACTTGATGAATGTCCTTGAGTGGCCCAGCCAGAGCCCAGACCTAAATCCTGTTAAATATCTCTGGAGAGATCTGAAAATGACTGTACACAGTTGCTTCCCGTCCTGATAGAACTTGAGAGGTACTGCACAGAGGAATGGGCAAAAAATTCCCAAAGACAAGTGTGCCAAGCTTGTGGGATCATATTTCAAAAAGACTTGAGGCTGTAATTGCTGCCAAAAGTGCATCAACAAAGAATTGAGCAGAATTGAGGCTGTGAATACTTCTGTACATGTGATTTTTCAGGTTTTATATTTTAACAAATTTGAAACAATTAAAAAAAATCTTTTTTCACATTGTCATTATGGGGTATAGTGTGTAGAATTTTGAGTAAATAAATGAATTTAATAAATTTTAGAATAAGGCTGTAACGTGGAAATGTGAAGAAAAAATGTGGAAAAAGTGAAGCGCTGAATACTTTCCGCATGCACTGTATTTGCTTTACTGTATTTATGATGCGATTAGTTTAATATATTTTATGCAAATGCACACTCTTAGAAAAGCATCCCAATGTATCTAAATTATTAATTATTTAAAAAAAAAAGAGACACTCATTTAATCTGGCACTAACAGTTTTTCTAATCTTTCAGAAAGCAGCAACAGGAAAGATTGATTGATTGTGGAACTTTTTAAATTTACATTGGTGATGTAGAAATAAAAACCTGAATTGTTTTGTTGGTGGGTAATAACGAAACATTTTAAAAGCAAAACCAATTAAAATGAATGACAAAATTGCTAAACTAATCCAAACATTGATGTAGCCGATTAAGAATATTATTGAAACTGTAATAATTTTCATTAATAATAAAATATATACGTGTGTAACTTGCAGGAAAAAAAACTATAGACAATAAACCAGCTGCTAGTTTTTTTTTTTTTTTTTTGGTTTTTTTTTTTTTTTGCAGGTTTTTATCTCAGACTTTGAAAGAGAGTTTTGTGTATGGATGGGTCAAATCTGCCAAACTAAGTGATACAAAAAGAACACTGCTGGATAATATCCACTTAGTCACACTATTAAAAATAATTTTGTGGAATTTTGTGCATAGGATCCAAAATTGCTGGCTGCGCCCATGGCTATGTGTAATCAGAAGCTAAACTGAAACTGGTGTATGACTGCAGGACATGATGGGATATGTAGTTCTCCAGCAATCCCCAATGGCAACACCACTGAAATATAGTGTCATTGCTTTAAAACGTTCTGATACACGTTTTCACAACACAAACGTTTTGATACATATGATGTTTAACATTTTGAAATGTTACCAAATAGTCCTGGATTTTTAGGATTTCGAGTCAAGTAATTCAATGTCTTATTGGGTAATTAATTTCCTTTTTGGATAAAGTAATTAGCAAAGTAATTTAAATACAATTTTATTGATATAATTACTTTTTTAAAGTAGCTCACCCAACATGGCGCACTGGCCTGTTACAAACCTAGATTTGTGAATGAAGTAAAACTGGACTTACACTTGTTTCAGGTAGTTCAGAGTTGGTTCTTTCATTTGGGTTCACTTTGATGTTTGAAACTTTGCAGATCTTTTACTTTTACATTCTAAGTTATGCATTGCTTGACAGGTAATATCTTTAAAAGCATTGTAGGTGCCTTTTAAACATGTTTTCACTCTCTAATGTGTCCTAGTGAGGCGCAGTTGGAGCAGAACGCTAAAAGAAGGCGACCCAGTCTGAGTCCCATCATCCTTAGGCAGCAGGAGGAAGAACAGAAGGCCAAACTTGCAGCAAGTGGCCCAGTGGACATCACACAGGTCATGAGCAAACTGGAAAAGAAAAAGAAAACCTAAAAGCTAGCACACAAAGGCTAGATACTGATAGAAATAGAAAACTAAAGCAATTTTGCAAGCCAGTATATTTTTATAGGGAAAAATAGAGATTTTATTTATTTTTTGCTATGTGCAGTATTACTTAAACATTGTTAGCCTTTAAAAGCTTGCTTAATTTATTTTTCTTATGTCATTAATTCATTCATTGAACATCACTGCTATCAGTCCATGTATTGAACTTCCTTGTTATAAGGCCACTGTGAGTAAAGGTTTTTGCACACTGAAGTCTGACGTTTACTGTGCGTATGCTTTTTTTGTATTCGTATCCTGAAACTTGTTCATGCACAAAGTAACTTACATAACTTTCACTTTGTTTGTTAGACTCTAAAATGCTGCGATTGACAGCATCCTGGACTTTGTCTTTCGTTTTTTTGGTGAAAATCAAATCCGATAAAGAAAAAAATTAGTGGTGGATGAAAGTTTCGGAGGCGGTGTGTAAATGGGATTGACACATCATGATGTTGTGTTTATTTTTTAATGTGCTAAAATTTTGGACGAAATTTTCAGACTCAGTGTGAAATTAACTTTACTGTTTTCCAGATTTGTTGACTCTTAGGGTACATTTACAAGACAGCGACATCCTAAAATTGCAAAAGTTTGTTCTTTTAATATTTTTAAACTTAAAGATCTATGAAAGCGACTGAAAATATGTGTTATGCATACCAGGCTAGTAGACTGACCCATTTGATAAATTGTTAAAAGGATAGTTCATTCAAAACTAATGACTCACTCTTTACTTAATTTTTTCATCCTTTACTTAATTTAAAGCCTTTTTAAGATTATTTTGTTAAAGTCAAACGAAAATATTTTTAAAGAAAACTGGAAATCAATTGCCATTAAGTTCCATTAAATTATCTTTTTTTCCTATTATGCATGTTAATGGTTACCAAATTTTCATCTTTTTTGAAATATCTTCTTTTGTGTTCAAGAGAATAGACGTTTGGTACAACTTGAGGGTGAGAAAACAGTAAGTAAATTTACATTGTGTTTCATTTTGGGGTGAAATGCACCTTTAAGAAACAAGTACAGTCCAGTTGTCAAGTACTCCCGCGTACCTATAGACTAAATATATAATGTGAGATGTGTACATTTTCACAAATTGTGTTTTTGTTTACATGGATATAATCATGGTAAATTTTAAAGCTACTCACTTTGAAGTATGCTATCAAATTAAAATTTTTCTGGCCCCTAGAATTACACAACTTGTAAACGTACCCTTATTCACTCTCATTTTGAACCTAATGTCATATTTGTGTTTTATCACATTTGATGTATGTTCATATTCATTTTGTTAACTCAAACATTATGAGATGTTGTCTTCATTACTACAGTTTGTTTAATTTCTGTGTGTTCCATGTTTGTAGCTGTTTCATTGTAAATCATGAATTTAGTGAAATACAAATATAAAATATTTGTCATCCGTGGTCATATCATGTGTCTTTGTCGTCTGTGATTGTTTTATGAGTGTAATGCACTATTGATGTACAGTGCATGCGGAAAGTATTCGTAGCGCTTCACTTTTTCCACATTTTTTTTATTTACAGCCTTATTCCAAGATAAATTAAATTCATTTATTTCCCCAAAATTCTACACACAATACCCCATAATGACCATAATGTGAAAACAATTAGCAAATTTATTAAAAATAAAAAACCTTAAAAATCACATGTACATAAGTATTCACAGCCTTTGTTCAATACTTTGTTGATGCACCTTTGGCAGCAATTACAGTGACGGTGTACACCCATTTTCAGATCTCTGTTTAATAAGTTTTAGGTCTGGGCTTTGGGTGGGCCACTCAAGGACATTTACAGAGTTGTTGTGAAGCCCTCCATTGATATCTTGGTGGTGTGCTTTGGGCTGGAAGATGAACTGTCGGCTCAGTGTGAGGTCAGAACATTCTGAAGTAGGTTTTCATTCAGAATATCTCTGTACATTGCTGTATTCATATTTCCCTCTATCCTGGCTAGTCTTCCAGTTCCTGCTACTGAAAAAGATTTCCACAGCATGATGCTGCCACCACAATGCTTACTGTAGGGATGGTATTAACCTGGTGATGAGCGGTGCCTGGTTTTCTCCAAACGTAACTCCAAAGAGTTCAATTTTAGTCTCATCAGACCAGAGAATTTTGTTTCTTATGGTCTGAGAGCCCTTTAGATGCAAATTCCAGGCAGGGAGTGGCTCAGTTTAGAGCTTCATGGCAAAGGCTGTAAATACTTATGTAAATGTGATTTTTCAGGATTTTTATTTGTAATAAATTTGCAACGATTTAAAAAAAAAGGTTAGATTGTCATTATGGGGTATTGTGTGTAGAATTTTGAGTAAATAAATGAATTTAATCCATTTTGGAATAAGGCTGTTCATTCATTCATTCATTCATTTTCTTGTCGGCTTAGTCCCTTTATTAATCCGGGGTCGCCACAGCGGAATGAACCACCAACTTATCCAGCAAGTTTTTACGCAGCGAATGCCCTTCCAGCCGCAACCCATCTCTGGGAAAGAATAAGGCTGTAACATAAAAAATTTGGAACGAGTGAAGCGTTGAATACTTTTCAGATGCACTGTATGGCATCATGTTACCACTTGTCTAAAATAAATTTGACCTCATGCCACACAGTGAGAGGAAAAGAGTGTGTGTGAGTTATGAAAAATAATTTCATAATTGATTTATTTTAATACATTTCAAAACCTGCATGATTTTTCAAACCTTTTGAGCCCAAAAGAAAAAAAATATAACAGGACGTTCTGAAAGAGAACTTGACTGCCAAAAAAGAAATTTACAGCAACAGTATCAGTGCAGCACAAGTCTAATTTTATGCTTTTATGAAACACTAGTAAAATAGTTTTGGTTTGCAGTAAAGTCATAACAATAATTTTGTAGTCTGCTTAAATAATTTAATCAATAAGAGTCAGAAATATATTTCAATAAATATGTCCTTTAGGGCTGCACGGTGCCGCAGTGGGTAGCACGTTTGCCTCACAGCAAGAAGGTCGCTGGTTTGATTCAGTTGGGGTTTCTGTGTGAAGTTTGCATGTTCTTTCTGCTTGCGTGGGTTTCCACCAGGTGCTCCAGTTTCCCCCCGTGGTCCATAGACATGCAGTAGAGGTGAATTGGGTTGGCTAAATTGTCCATAGTGTGTGTGTGTGTGTGTGTGTAAATGAATGCATGTGTATGGGTGTTTCCCATTGATGGGTTGCAGTTGAAAGGGCATCCGCTGCGTTAAACATATGCTGGATAAGTTGGTGGTTCATTCTGCTGTGGCAACCCCTGATTAATAAAGGGACTGAGCCGTAAAGAAAATTAATGAATAAATAATTAAATATGTAATTTAACTTAATTGTTTTATTAAGATGAATAACATGATTTGCAAAGCACAGATATTATCGCTTAATTCAAATAGGTATACGTTCCAAAATGGCAAGACCCTGCAAATCTCACTCCATTGAGTTCATTGTGTGTATTGCATCGCTGAGTGATAAAGGCTGCATCCAGATACTATTGAAAACAGTAGTGTCTTGAAAATAAACAGTAGGCTACCTTTTATTCTGCTCGCTAGATGTCGTACTTGCGTTGCTTTAAAACGCATGTCTTTTTGCAGGCTGTGTCTAGTAACCAGACCCTAACTGAATAAAAGTTTATTTCGAATATATAAAACAACGATGCCAACGTAAAATAGAGTTAAGCCACATTTTAGTAAACCGAATGCTTCAAATGCAACGTTGACTTTGGTTACAAGTTTCTGTTAAAGCCTACATTATTTTACGATTAGGTATAATCATTCATTCATGATCTTATTTAAAAAAGCTTTGTACTGGGTCGTATAACTCATTATGTCATGTGATTACGTAAATAGATTTAAAAATGTACTGTTGTAATTCAGTAATGTTTTAAACCACTCACAATTGGATTACTTTTTTATTGAATACTTAATTACAGATCCCACAATGTTGTAAACTATATACAATTTATTGGTTCTCGAACGTTTCTTTCTATTTCTTTTTTTTTTTTTTTTTTTTGCTCTTTTAAATTTTCATTCCTAATAATCTACTGTGTCAGATACCTAAATGTAGGCTAAATTAATTAACAATTTATGCTTCCAAAAGTAACTCGAGTTATACATGGGACATTCTACCAGAAACGTACATTGTCTGTCCCTGAAATAAAAACATAAATACAGTGAATAGAAAGTATTTCATTCAAAACATTTCTAAAATGGAATGATGGGTGATATCTGTGAGTTGTTCTGTAATATTTCATTCGTTATTAGATATTTGTTCTTTAGGTCAGGCCCTGTCACATTTTTACAAATGAAAATGTATGTTTCTTGTAGAATGTTCCACATATGAGACAAAAAAACAAAAAATATATATATACACAATTTACATAGAAACCCACATTATGTATGTTTTAATGTATTTTATGATGTTTTTGAAAACCAAATCAAACCAAATCAAATCATGTTATAAACATGCTAGTTCAGAGGTAATCTACGTGTAATACAAAAGTAATCTAGATACATTACAGTAATCTAATAGATTATGTAACTACAATTTCATAATTTATGTAATTTGTATTCAGGTACAGGCTACAATTTGTAAACAATCTATCTATCTATCTGTCTGTCTGCCTGCCTGTCCGTCCGTTGATCGTCCTTTTGCCCATATATTGCATCTGATAATTACAGATTGCGTTGCACTAAGAGCATTTCATTCTAATTTAGACTTTGCATGAACTGTGCCCCACAGCTCTGCCGGTTCACAGCACCTGTGCCTCATCTGGCCGTATATACAGGCTTTTGTGAAGCACAGTCCACTACCTCCCCAGGCCTCATGACGCTGCCCAACAGTGCTGCCTGTCCTTCGCCCATCAGTGTGGCCATCGACAGCACTCCAGCCTCAGAGCGGAGGTTTGACGGTAACGGAGGGCCTTCGTCCTCACATTTCCCTTCCATTGCAGAGGCATCTGTGTCTGAAGAAGAGAACCAGCCGCCTGCACCCAAGTCTCGCATGGCTCTGTCTCTGAGCAGACTCCTCCGTAGAGGATGCAATGCTCCGTCTGTCTTTGCCAGTCTGTCCCCGAAATGTGGTGTAGCTTCAGGGGGAGGCAAAGTACAGCCCCTCGGAGTGGAGCCACTTACACAACCACAGCCCAGGAGAATTGCAAAGTTAGTATGCTTTTTTCAATTTAAGATTTAAGATATTTTCCATAAAATGCAAACATTCAAGAGCCACTAATTAGCATGACACTTAACAAATGAATTACAGGTTAAGTACAGTATCGCATTTTGACCCCAGCTTATCTTCACTCTGCTTTTAACCCTGGCTAAATCAACATTTCACATGCACTTGTAAATGGGAAGCAGTGTTTTTTTCACTCGGGATTAAGAGACTTAATCTTTTGTGGTGTTTTTTGCAGTGCTAAATGGAGACAATCTCATGTTAAAAAATTATTTTTTCACTTTAAATTTAATGGTTAAACCTGGGCCTTTCTAAACCTTGCCCAAATGTAGTCATGGGTTGTTTTGATTTATGTTTCACATTGCTCACACTTTACCCAAGGTAAGCAGTTAATCCTTGGTATTCATGTAGTGGCATTTCACGCTGTCCATTTCTAAACCATGGGTAAATGTTCTTATTTGCATGCTTGAAATGTTAGTTCTAAGCTCCGTTTACACTGCCAGTTACATAATCGCATTCATTTTCAGAGGGGAGCGTGTGATTTTTGGCTAAAATTGGGCTGTCAGTGAAAATTTAATAGGATTTTCTTACAATTGTCCAAAAACAGACTTGTCATCAGACAGATTATAGATTTTTCATGGTTAGTCAGTCATTCATTCATTTATTCCTTCATATGTAGCCTACTAATGCACAAAAATGTACATTACAAATAATGATTGTCTTTGATTGCTCAAACTAGATAGGTTAAAAGCAGACCCCACACTTGGCCATGTCATGATTTCCTTCCTTCACAAACTCATTTTTTACTACAAGTTTTAACAACTAAACTACAAGTATACTCAGAAGTTTACTTGCACACTATTAGAATTTGCTGCAGTTTTACAGTTACTCACCACAAAACACCCACATACATTCTGTACAGTTTCTGCTGTATTCTGCACTGCATTATGGGCATTGTACCTCTTTTACAGTAGCTTACAGCTTCAAACTTAAAAACATAAACGTGGACTACTTTTGCACCTAAAAGTTAATGTTACACTTACAGTTTACAGTATAATTAAAAGTATACATTTATGTACCAAAAAGTTGACCAATTTAGTCCCGAGCTTTTGTAATTAGTACAATTGCAATTACATGTACTATTACATACAGTAGACATTAGTATACTTATCTGTGAAGTTCATTCATTCATTCATTCATTCATTTTCTTGTCGGCTTAGTCCCTTTATTTATCCGGGGTCGCCACAGAGAAATGAACCGCCAATTATCCAGCAAGTTTTTACGCAGAGGATGCCCTTCCAGCCGCAACCCATCGCCGGGAAACATCCACACACACATTCACACACACACACTCATACACTACAGATAATTTAGCCTACCCAATTCACCTGTACCGCATGTCTTTGGACTGTGGGGGAAACCGGAGCACCCGGAAGAAACCCACGCGAAGACAGGGAGAACATGCAAACTCCACACAGAAACGCCAACCGAGCCAAGGTTCGAACCAGTGACCAAGCAACCTTCTTGCTGTTAGGCGACAGCACTACCTACTGCGCCACTGCCTCGCCCTATCTGTGAAGTACTCAAATTTATACTTCATTTTTATAAAATGAACTGAAAGTATACTTATTTTTTCCTGAGGAAGTAGTACATTAAAATTCACAGTATTTGAAAACAGGAGATGAGAAATACCCAGATGTCTTACTACCTCTGAGAAATGCACATTTAGTGAAAACTTTAAAATCCCATGAGATCATAGGAAGGGATTTATAAATTAAAGTGAAGAAATGTGACTGACACTGTTAGCTCTTTGGACAATGACATACCTATATGGGTCATAAAAAATGTCATTTATTACATCCATATTCACACTATATAGGTATAGATCAGACTCATACTCTCATACAAGTGAGTTCAAGTTCAAATGCAGTATCTATAGTGAGACAATATGCTATTGTGGGAACACTGAGGGTTTAATATTGTATAGTGTAAAAGTTCAGATTAATAATACTCTTTTTTTTTTCAAATTGAAGGGATTGTTTAACCAAAAATTACAAATTACTTACAATTTATTCACAATCAAGTGGTTCTAATCTTTTATAAATTTCTTTTTTTAAACATAATACAATATATTCTAAGGAACAAGTGGTTTTCTAAGGATATTCTAAGGAACATGTTTTGGAACAAGTGGAGTATGAGTAAATGATGACCGTTTGAGTTTTTTTCTTCTGTTGAACATAAAATATGATATTTGGAAGAATGTTTGAAATCTGTTACCATTGTCTTTCAAATTGTTTGTTTTCCTACCATGAAAGTCAATGGTTACTGGTTTCGGATATTTTCAAAATATCTTTCTTTGTGTGTGTTCAGAAGAAATAACTCATGAAGGTTTCAGCAATGTTGAATGAACTATGCTTTTAAATGATGAACAGATACTTTTATTAGTGTTTGTACTTCACAATTTGACAGTACTTGAAAAATAACCTGACTTCTTTCACAGCTTTTTTCAAATCAAAGTTGACATCCCACCTGAATGCCGCATCTACCCTATCGATTCCGAAGACGAGGAGGACGACAGTCCCAATACAGCAAGAGGAGGTGTGAAAGAAATCATTTGCCCATGGGAAACTGTCACGAAACAAGATGGAGCAGGATAACGAAACCAAATGGAAGTAGAAGGAAATACACTGAACCAACACTTGTTTCATAAATATTGTGTCTTGCAATCCCGAGAAGGCTGTGGTTAGTAATGTATAAAGTAACCTGGTCTCTAAATTGACATGTTTGTTATTTTTGATAGATTTTAGGTAGTGCCTAACGTTATTGTAGCCACTGAGATGATTTTGTTATAAAGTAAAAAGAAAAATGTAAATATATATACGTATTCTGATGTCACCATTCTTTTATGACTGAAGGGGCCTTATTTTAAGAGAATTTCTTTTGTTTATCTGTCATCAGTTTGTTTAGTGGTGTGAACAACAGATTTTGTACTTGGCTTGTTTATTGTTTTATATAGCTGCGAATCATGCATCAACGTGAAATGCTATGAGAAATGTTATTTTCATAGAAGTAAATTTAGTAAGGCAGTACAACAGAATGTAAATACACGTTTGCTGTCTGAATGTATAACCTTTAAAATGTTTACAGTTCACTTGAAAATGTGAATTTGTTCATGACTCATGTTTAAATTGTGTAAGTGCCTCAATAAATGATTTTAAAGTTACCTATTTTGATGCACAATTAGTACATTTCATTGTATATATTGTGTATATTTTATTTATTTTTTCATTTTCCTCTTAATTACAAAATATCCTAATGATGAAAACTGGGCGCCTTTTATTTTAAAATAAAGCTTTTAGTTCCATTTTCTCATTTTTATGGCAGGGTCTTACCATGAATATATATAGATACATAGCCTATATCTATGGGATTTTACAAACGTACATAAATGTAAAATTTACATACATTTAAATGTATTATTAGTATTTATTGTTTTATGATTTAATTATTTTTTATTAAACTATTTTTTTAACATTTATTATTTATTTATTTTCAAAACATTTATAAGAAATCACTCATTTTCTTAGCCATAGTTCCTCATTTGATCGTCATGTTGTTATTATTTTAGGGGACTTTTATTTTCAGGACGTGCTGTGAGAGCATCGAGTCATCGACTGGCTTCACCGTCCTCTGCGGTTGAACAGCAGAGAGTAGCCGGATGCCTCAGCACAGTTTTTTGAGTCGATGAACACCTTTATAAAGCCGAACGGTTGTTGTGTTTCACTTTTCGACTCGGTAAGTTATACATATCAAACATATTCGTACGTGACTCCCCTTTCGCGTGAAAAATGTAAAAACAGTATTACCAAGCAGCGGTGTTTGACAATTCATCCGCTTCTCGTGTATTGTTGCTCAGCGCACATTTCACTTGATCCACTAGTGTCTGTTACTACATACATGCAGCTGTCGCGACTAGGATCTGGCCTGCTATTCCTGGCATATTCAGCCTTGTTAAACATGACACGTTTGACGATTTTGCCAAATGTATGAGCTTTCTAGCAGCACAAGAACATCATTTCCTGCCGTGTCGTATCAATGATGAAGAATGTTTAGCGACGAGCGATACTGAAAGTCCTCGGAAGGAATCGTGGTTTGTTTATAATCTGCGTTAAGCCAAATCACTGTCATAATGCAGTAAGTTTGATTATTATATTGTCAAATATAATATAGTGAGCTAGTGTCTGGACACACCTACTAAATATCCACAACACACGCGGATCTGACACTGGATTTCCATTTGATTGACAAGTTATCAATGTAATATATATATATATATATATATATATATATATATATATATATATATATATATATATATATATATATATATATATACATAATATGTATGGCAGAATTTAGGCAAGATCTTGAATGTTCGTGATCTGCTATAACAGATGCACGACCGATTATTACATAAGCATCTGCATTGACCGTTGCGCCAGTAACTTACCTCGCGTTATAATAGGAGACTGTGCTAAGGTTATTTATTTGCATATATGCAAATTCTAATCACAAAATGACGGTCCTCTCTTTCATTAGTTCTTCAAGATGGTCTTGGACTTTGAGCGAAAATGAAGCGCAGTCTGTTTCTGTGGATCTCGTAGTTAAGGTAAGGACAGTCATTGTTTATGATATCATTAAGATCACTCTTTATTTTATTTTAAGGTACAATACTCGCTATTAACAAGAAGAAATCATCCCTTTTGTTGACTTTATCTTTGCTAATTTATGATAAACTCAGAATCGCTGATCTGCTCCAGAAAGGGAGTGCCGATAAATATTATGTAATTCTGTCTGACTATAGGGGTATGGGGTTACCTGTATGCCTGTCAAGGTTTATGTGTTTTTAGCCATATTTCTGGCATTGAAGGGTAAAGGCAGGTGTAGATGTGCACAAGGAGGAATGTCAGAGAGCTTTATGTCTTCCATCTTGTCAAAGAAGCAGAGCTGAACACTGCATGTCTGAACACTGTTTCTCAAGTCGGAATGTTCTTGTAAATTATTCCAGCTATTGAATAAATACAATCTGCCATTGACTTTGTTTCCATGGACATATTTATTTGCATGCACATTTTGGGATACCTTTAAAAAAAATTAAGCCTTTGATCAAATCTGAAAGTTTGTTCATGAAAAATGTGCTCTGTATGTTGTAGCAGCACTTGCAAAAATGTTTAAATTAAATGTTTATCATTGATATTTATTATGTTATATTTGATTTTAGATTTTTATCAATCAATTTAATAGTCATTTTAATGTTGTTTATTACTGACTGGATTTTGTTTAACTTTCCATTATATCTTTATTTTATATTCCCAATTTTTGCAGTCATATTTTGGCATATTGAATGAGAAAGCCAAGCCTTGGATAAAATCTAAAAAGTCTTATGAGGAATGTGTGCTGCTCATTGACACTATTCTGCAATGTGAAAGTTAGCTTTTTTCAGCAATTGTTTTAGAACTTATTATTTGTTTGCTTGTAGGGAAACTACAGGCAATAATAAATGTCAGTAATCAATCAAACTACTTGCTCTACAAACTACTGTTAATAATGATACATAGAAATAAATATAATATAATAAGAAAATATAAGTTTGCACCATCAGTACTGCAGAATAACATGCTGTGAAAAATCAATGGAGGTTAATGAGACTGGAAGTGTTGAGTCAAGAAGGTTTGAATGTCTGCACCCACTAATACGTGAAAGAATAAGATAAGTTGAGGACATTATCACAGCATCTTGCAAGTGCAAAAAAGGCTAATAATTAAATTAATATTTTAATTATTATTTAAAATAATTTTTCTATTGTTTATTGAGATTTTCAAAATTTTAATGATAATTTTTTTTATCTTCCCAGTATTTGGATGCAATTTATCATTTTTCAGCTATAGTTTTATATACAGCTTTATAAAATGCTGATTGCAATGTAGGCAAAGGGCTAGTTTAAGATTCTGATTTTATGATAACCTTGGATAAAAAAATCACGGTATCCAGAATTGTGACTACCGTTTTAAAATATATTCTTTTTAAATGTCTGTGTAAAAAATAACAACTTTCCCCATTGTACTTGATACATTTTTTTTGTTGAAAAATTTAAAATATTTTGGCTTTTAAAAAACATTTCAGGCTACATAAATATCATAAATTATTGACTTCTGCTGTCAAACACAGATTTCTTTACAGCTTACTCCACTGCACTGTTCAGGTCTGTGGCATGCTGGGGTGTTGATATGTAAAAGTTTTTTTTTTCTTCAGATGTTTTCTGAATCGTGGGCTTTTGCATTAGCTGTTTATGTGGATCCACCTTTTAAGCTGGAGATAAAAAAAAAAAAATTAAACATAAACAATAAAAAACATCGATATTAGTATAACGGTACAATAGAACGGTATAACAGAAAGTGTTTGACTTTTCCAAACCACGGTCAACCTTAAAAACGGTTATCGGAAGATAATGCCAATCAGAAGATAAAATCTAAAAAGTCTTATGAACTTAAAATCTGTGCTGCATTTGAAGTGTATGTTGTTTTAATATGATAACAGTAATACTTTATTCACATAGTAAATTGTATAACTGAATTAGAGTTGCAAGATTGTAATGTCAGTTTTTTTCCAATATTTAAATTTTTGTGATTTATATTGAAATATTTTAACAAAAAAATTGAATAGCTCAATGAATACTCTTATAGTTTTTTGGAATGATTTTGTAAAGGGCATGCAGAAAATATATTAATCTACCAGCACAGATAAATAAAGTAAAATAAAATAATCAATGTACAATAAACGTTTCATAGTCTTCACTGTGTAAATAATTATATAGAATTAATCTTTGTTAAAGCTACAGAATTTAATTATTCCTTGAAAGCCGAAAGCTTTAAACTTGCTTAAAATGCTTAGTCACAGGCTTTAAAAACACATGCAACTGATAAACTTGAAATGTATTATTTGTAAACAGAAATGACTCTACAATTTTCATGCCTTCTGAATTGTTGTACCTGGTCAACTATAATCCTGATTCCACATTGCAGATCTTGCGATTGAAGATTCACACATTGTGATATCGATGCCAAAAGATTTATTGTGCAGCCCTACTAACCAGCATGTAACTCAACAGATTATTTGATTATTATCTATAGATTATTTCAAAGCAGCAGGAGTAAATTTAGATTTAAAGCAAAAAAAAAACTTGATTAATTTTTTTTTTTGCAACGCTTTTAATTAATTTAATTTCAATGAAGAGAGTTCGATAAGGTTATATTGGTAATGCGTTTATTTATTTTTTCATCATAGCTGAAAAAATAGTTTTACTAAACAAAGGACAAAGCAGCCTTCAGTGGCTCTTGAAACTGTTCGCTAATGGTTAGGCCTAGAGTTATAGGAAAACATTTAAATAGTCTCTAAAGGCTTGTCATATATTAGGTAACCGCTCAACAGGATGTTATTTCTTCTTTCTACTCCACCTCTCTTCTCAGGGGATGTCGGAGTGAGATTGACGTATTGATAGACTCTGGATGCTCATGAGCTCATAATGAAGAATGCATCAGCTAACAAGATGGACGATGCTACCTTACACAAAGCCAAAACTTAACCTTTTAGCTAGACATTGATTTTGGTTAAAATCAGCCGTTAAATCAGCTGTCACCACCACGCTGTTAATGTCAGTAGATGTGCAGCATTACCTCACAGCATTACATTACAGTTTCAATCTGCTCAGAGTGACCATCACTGTGCTCGTAGTCAGATGATACTTTTAAGTTGTTTTTAATGGCACATCGGAAAATGCATTTAATGCTCCATATGAAGACTTTACAGCTACAGGGATTGTTCTAGATGTCTTTTGGGGATTGTGCCAGCCTTTTCTGAGTAATGCATTCTGCCCAACTGTTGAGATAAAGAGGGAAAAGGACAGTGAAAGCGAGAAAAAATAAAGATCAGAATCACCAATTTGGAGATGTGGACAGATGGACTGATTAAATATTAAGCAAAAATGTGTGTGCACAGTGCACCCTTTTTAAGATATAGATGACTATTAAATAATATTCAAAAAATTGTCATTATAATCTCACACTTTAGTCTATCCAGACCAATTTATGAACATAAGCATTATATTTAGAAAAATATGGCGAAAGCGTATTTTCATAAAGTTGCTATAAAAATTTCATATTTAAG